AGGCAGGGTATGGACTATGACGTCACAGTTTTGTAAAAGATGTGTTTATGCGGTCTACATGAAAATGCAGAAATGGCTTTCCAGGATTTTCCAACACTGGAACCCATCCATCCATTATCTTTACCACTTCTTTTTTTGGGGGGGTTGCAGGGGTCACTGGTGCCCATGTCCAGTCTCTGTGAGAGAGGCAAGGGACACCTTGGACAGATCACCGGTCCATTCATAGGTGTCGCAACCATTATATGTGAAGGGGACAAGTCCCCCCCTCTTTTACTATGAAACATTAGTTCAGGCGGCGCAGTTTCTCTTTCTTCGTGAACGAATCCATTCCAATTGATTAGTAGGAGAATACTCAAGCCACTAAAACTCCACTCCAGGTTTTCCTGGTTACCTCCAACTCTCCGCCGTCGCTTCCTGCCTCGGCAGAAAACGCGCACAGGTGGAGGAGGTGGAGGTACCTGTGTTACTCGCTTGCCAGTTTAGCAAGCTTAGGGCAGGCAGTGGTTGACCAGGGGGTTGATCATTAACATATATTCATGTTAGGAGGATGCTTGAGTGCAGCGCTACGTCTGTAGCATCTGAGCTTAGCAGTAACTGTGACGCTGTAAGACGCTGCAGGTGTAAGAGACGCTGTGTGTTCAGGTGCATTAAAGTTGAAATGTCTTTAAAACCCCACACCTTATTGTCCTCAAGCTTCATGAGAAACATCATTTAGATGAGGAGTGTTGAACACAAGTAAAAAAGTCTAGTGGTGATGTTTTTTATTTCTCTATAAAGACAAATAGTGCCAATCTGATGCTCTGTATTAAAGTGTATTAAAGTTAAAATGTCTTTAAAATCCACAGCTGAATTTACACAAACTTGGTGAGAACATGCTTTAAATGTGTGTAATTAAAGGAAATCTAGGTGAAAGGCTGCTTTTTTGTTCACTAGTGAACACCTTTGTGTGCGCACGCGTACACACCTACACACATCATTGTGTCCCCCCCACATTACGGATGCTTCTGATGCCCTTGGGTCCATCACATAGAGACAAATGAGACAAACAACCATTCACTCTCTCACTGAGCCACCGTGACGCCACACTGGAACCCATTTTTGAAAAATACAAATTAAGGACCCCTGAACTGTGTGTGGACACAAGGCTGAGACAATCAATAAACTTTTACTCACACACAACAACCATTCACCACGTGAACGGGTCTTCACAAAATAAACGATGGGTCTGCAAGATTTTTCTGTTCCTGATTAGATGAATTAAAGTTTTCATATTTTTTTAAATGTGGATGATGAAAACGTTTACATAGATAGATAGATAGATAGATAGACGGACGGAAAGACAGACAGACAGACAGACAGACAGACAGACAGACAGACAGACAGAGATTTTTTTCAATATTGTTGCAACACTCATTTCTGCAATCATTCCACATTTTCTACAGTTTATCTATCTAAGTGCGTTTCTCTGCTGCAGGACTGAAGATTTTATTCTCAAATTGCCTCAGAGGTCACGCACACAAACCCAATGACTTCAGTTGTATCTGATCTCAGATTCATTTTGTTATTTATTTAAAAAGGGACAGTGTACTAATTACTGAATATTCAAACAAGTTCAAATGTAAATGCACCCATGTGAGCCAAAGACTTAATTTTCATCAGAAGTCTGTGTGTTTGCAGACCATACTGTCAAAAGTTCAAGTCAATATTGTCATTCACAGGACATGTGGTACATGAGGTGGAACGAAATTATGTACTCAGGGTCCCAATTACATCCAACAATAGCAAAAATAAAAAGAAACAGTATATAAGGATCTAATATATACACTAAGATATTCGCTAAACAAATGTCAAACAGTACGCTAAAAGATCTAAGATATATGCAAAACACTAATAATATAAAACAATACGGCGTAACAACAGCAACCTGAAAACACAACAACACAAACAGTTTTACACAAAGACCACATTAATGTGTCCTCTGACAGCTCCGTTCCAACTGGATGAGCAACATGCCAGAGGATGAAGCCCTCACTTCAAAACAGATAGTGGCATTTTAACAATTTAGCTTGTGATATGTCTAAAATAAACTCTTCATAGAATCATTTTAAAAACCATGTGTGACCATCAGGACGAGTCAGCTGAGCTTTAGCTTATACTCTGTGTTTCTGCCTAAGAGAAACAAACTGGAACCAAAAAGGTGAGAATCACCATGACAACCAGCATCAGTTTTGGCTCTTCTAAATTACCCAGCATGCTTTTCTCCCTCCTATGTTACCATTATGTGCCCCCCCCCCCCCCCACCCCCACTCACCACCACCTTAGACTTCATGTCAGGTCAGGAGGATTCAGTCAGAGGGTTGGCAGAAAGCAGGATTTGCTCTCAGGCAAACAGGAAAAGGTTTGAAGCTGGAGTTCCAGAATAAAGCTTTTCAAAATAAGAGCATGGCTTTGTTATATCCCAAATTATTACAAAAATAAGTGTCAAACTCCTGTTGATTGTTAGAGAGGAAAGCTGATGGAGCTTGGGGAACCTTCAACGTTTCTTTTTAGTTGAAAAGTTTTTTGACACTCGTTTCTTTAAAATGTGAACAAACTCGACGGAGAAGTGTTTTTATTATTCAGAAGTCGTTCAGAAAGAACAGAAACAGTGCTGTTGCTTTTTGTTTGTTTTGTTCATGATGAACCCTGTGTTTCCTGCTCTCTGTGAGCCAAAGCGCCGATGGTCATGAGAACATGTGTTTTCTTCTTTTCCAGCCCAGACCGGCCATAAATCAGCTGTTTTCTTCCCTCCTCTGATGAAGGCTCGTCTCCTCCACCATCCTCTGAGCTGAGCTGGAGTTTGGGAACTCTGCTGCTTTCAGTTAGTGAGCGTCAGCAGGCCGAGTAAAGTCAGACCGAAACGTCCAGCTGCTGCTGCGTCTTTGGCTGAATGTGTCGTTAAAATGAAATGAAGTGTAGGTGAGAACAAAGTGATGAAACTAACCTTGACAAAAAGAAAATATTCAAACTAATTTGTCCACAGGGACATGTCAAACTAAAGAGTGTCCTGTAACCAGCAGCTCAGTGTCTTCAGTCTGTACTCAGTCAGCCAGTCAGTCAGTCTGTTTAAAGGGTGTCAGGTAGTCACAGGGCTGTTTGGTGTCATGGTGTGTAACACACTGAACATGGACCACCGGACACTGAGGACAGAGTTGTCTCAGTAGTTTAGAAAGACAATAATTGAACAGCATGTTGAAGATAAAGACGATAGAACCATGTCCAAGCTGCTGGACTGTGACTACAGCTGGACATTATTAACAAGTTCAAGGTCCACAGGACTGAAGACAACATCCATACATTCCACAAGAGACAAACTGAGGACACACTGAAGAGATGGATTATACTGTAGGACTAGAAACCAAAGGTCAAGGGTCATCCGTGTCAAATTGGACCATCTGTCTCTGTTTGAGACACAAAGTGGACTTAAAGGAAGACCACTGAGGAGGTGGTCAGATTATATATAAAAAATCTCATCCATCCATCATCTGGATGATGGATGGATGTGTCTCAACACCTTAGTGTATATATTAGATCCTTATTTACTGTAATACTTTATATTTTTGCTGCTGTTGGATGTAACTGGGACCCTGAGTACACAATTTCTTTCCACCTCTTGTACCACATGTGATGTGAATGACAATAAAGAAACTTGAACATCAAACACCTGTCCAAATGTGTCTCAACACTTGTACACACGTGTCTCACCTCATGGCCACATGTGTCTGAACACCTGTCCAGATGTGTCTTGACTCCTCGTCCTCCTGCTGTTACAGGATACAGTCTAGTCTCTTTCAGCCCTTCACCTCGTGATATGTTCAAACACCGTATCCTCAACAACACGTTACTCAGAAGTTACCCCGGGGTCCTTTGTGACCTCGCCCACTATTACACACCTGGCTCTGGGAGTGATCATTGTCTCTGATCCCTGTTCTTTAAACAGGGTGTCCACTCACACCTGATCATCATCCATTGATTGACACCTGACTCTAATTTCACCTTCAAATTAACTGATAATCCTAGAGGTTCGAGTACTGTTACCACTCACAGATACATTATGTAATACTGGACAATTTCCCTCAAAAAATAAATGGTTTGTCTCATTTGTTTAACTGGGTTCTCTTCATCTACTTTTAGGACTTGTGTGAAAATCTGAAGATGCTTTAGATCATGTTTATGTAGAAATATGGAAAATTGCAAAGACTTCAAAAACTTTCAAGCACCATTGTGTATACATACACATCCACAACTACATTATATATATAAATATATAGATATAGATATAGATATATATACACACAAACACACACACATATTTATATATGTATGGTATATATGTATAATGTTTTGATGTGGTTTGAAAATCAGAGTTCATGTCAGGGAGTGGTTCTGTCAGACTGGGTTAGGTGTGCATGAAAGCTTCTGGTTTGTTTTCCACCTCGTGTCTCTCAGCGACAGAGCGTGTGCTTGTGTTTGTTCCTCTGCAGCAGAACAAGAGCTTCGTTAGCTCAAACACTTCAAAAACCTGCACAAATCCTGATCTGGGTTCAACGGTTCTAGACCGCATTAAATCTCCCTGCATGTCAGACCTGCTCCCAGTTTATAATCATTAAAGAGCTTTTTGTTGTCAGGACAGAGCCTGACGTGTTTTTATTATTTTAAAAAGGTTGTTCAGAAAGGTTTGACTGCGTTCAGATGCAGATTTTACTTTAGATAATCAGAAATTCAACAGACTCTGGAACTGAAGGGGTCCTGGTTCTGATACTTCAACACACACCGAGCAGAAGTGGTTCAGCTGCAGCTCCTCTAGACGAACTGTTCGTCTCTTCAGGGACCACACTTAACCTTTGTCCTAAATAAACCTGAGTCTGAAGCTTTAAAACTCCAGGATGAAGCTCAGAGAACAGAAGAGGTCCGAAGCGTCCACTTGTGCTAAAACATGTTGTTTTATTACAATAAGTGGTTTTTAAACATTTCATATATATTTATTCAGATATAGTTTTCTGTTTAGGCTTATTTTACAGTCTTTAAAACAAACAACAACAAAGTGCTTTCTTCTTCCTCACTGGCAGGTCAAAGGTCACCGTCAGAAGGCACTGAGTGAGGATGACTCAGGGGGGAAGAGGAAGAGCAGCGCTGCATAGAAACCCTGTTCACGTTGACTCTGCTCCACACAGAGCCCGGCTTTCTGTTCGGATCAGTACCCAGCAACCGTCACAGACAGTCATAGTGCAGATGAGAGCGCAGCTTCAGGCCCATCAGAACCAGAGCTGACAGGAAGCTGCTGGTACCACAGGTATCATTCCAGTCTGAAGAGCTGGTGCACAAAGGTTCTGGAGGCTGAGTCCGACCTGCGGTTCCGGTACCATTTAAAGTTTCAGATGACTGTTTTCCACCAGAACCCTGAAAATCCAAGATGTGCACCTGCAGGGAGGACCCATTGATGTGATCTGTTCAGGTGGACAGAACCTGAGCAGAACCAGCTCAGCATGCACTTTTACATTTGGGTTACACAGAAAACAGTCAGGACAGAAGCACGTGCACGACAGGCGGAGCCACGGGCACGCGCGTGTCCTACCTTAGCTGCACGGAATTATTATGAGTCTCAGTCCGAGTAAGGCACAGAACCAGTCCTCTGTGGGTCGGAACCAGCTTATGGGCTTGCTGCACAAAAGTGTGAAAAGGCACGTGAGGTCTGAAAAGGAAAGGTCCAAACAGATCAGTGTCCAGCAGGTGAGGTTCTGTTCACCTGCGTCCAGTCAGGGGGAACCTGTCCGAACCGAACCCAAGCACAGTCTGGTGTTAGTCCTGAAGAGCCGGACCGGCTGTGAGGACTGTGGACCCTCAGCCGGCCGTGGCTCCTCTGAGCTGTCCCTGTCCGGTCCGGCCCGGTTCGGCCTCAGCTGCCCATGGGTTTGTAGGAGCCGTCTGGCAGCTGTCTGAAGATGCCCCGCAGGGTGTCCAGCTCCCGGCTCAGGTGCTCCACCCTCCGGCGGAGCCGCTCGTTGTCCGCCGTCAGCTCCACCACCTTCTGCTGCGTCTCCAGGTTCCGCAGCTTCGCCTTGTCGCGGCTCTTGCGCACGGCCACGTTGTTGCGCTCGCGCCTCAGCCGGTACTCCGGACTGCTCTTGTCCACGTGCTTCTTGGACTTTCCGCCCCCCAGCTTCATGTGCGCGTGCTGGTGGTGTGGGCTGGGCACCGGGGTTGGTGGGGGGGTCGGGTGGCCCGGCTGGAGGTGCATGGTAGTCTGCGCGCAGTGCGCGATCTGGTACTGCAGGTGCGGCATCTGCTGCTGCTGGGGGTACTGCTGCGCGTGCGCGTGCGAGTGGTGGTAGGAAGGGGGCAGACCCGAGTTCAGGTCCGGGTTCAAGTCCTCGTCGTCTCGGGGCTCCTGCTTGATGGCCACGGGTCGGATCCGGGGCGGGTTGTGCTCGTAGAACGGCTCCAGTTTGGACTCCATGTAGTTGGACATGTAGAGCTGCTGCGGGCCCGGCGCGCACGGAACCGGGTCGTACTCCCCGTTCATCATCTTCAGCTTGTCCTGGCGCGCGCTGTGGTGGAACAGGTCCGCCAGGAAGTCGTCGTTGAAGGCTGCCGGGTCGATGTAGGCGCTCAGGTCGATGGAGGTCTCGTTGTCTCCTATGTCGGAACCGAGCTCAGCCGGGTCTCTGTAGCCAGAGGGGGGCTGCGCGCCGTGCGTCAGGCTGCTCATCAGGGGCCGGGCCGCCGCCTCGTACAGATTCGACAGCTCCATGGAGGATCTAAACCCGGACGGGCATGTCCAGGAGCTCCGGGAATCCAGGTTCTACTGGAGAGACGACAGAACACCTGGACCTGGAGAACTGGACTGGCAGCGGGAGAACCGGAACCCAGTTTGAGTTTCTGCACGGAGAAACAGTTTCAGGGTCAGGTTGCTGGACCGGATCCTGCTGGGTCCTGTTGCTCAGTACGATCCGAAAGCTGTCAGACTGGGTCTTTATAGAAGGGCGTGGGGGCGGGGCCACACACACACACGCGCGCACACTCCAGCTGCGCCTGACCAGATAAACCGTTAAGAACTGGACCTGGACCCTCTGAGATCCGGGACGCATGAGCAGGTCCGAGCCGCGGGGTTTCTGTGTCCGGTCCAAATGAAACCAGGTCCGGGTGTGTTACCAGAACACGGACGGTTCTGTCCGAGTTGGTCTGTGATCTGCAGCCTGTTGGCCCGGGTTCTGAATGGATTTTTTTGGTTCTGTCTTTGTTGGAGTTAAAGTCGGGAGTTGTTGAAGTTCTGATGATCGACCCTGGATCCATATGAACTGGACCGATCTCATCCGAACTGTGGCGAGTCCAAACGGACTAAGTGACCCGGTTCAGTTTTCCAGAGTCTCTCAGAAACCAGAAGGTTTGTCTGCTGTCCGTTTGGACTTGATCACATTCGGGTTCCAGCAGAACCCACTGACGAGCGCGCGTGTGTGTGATAAGGTGGACTGCAGCTCCCTCTCTTGGCTGTAAACCCAACATGTCTGGAAGTGATGAAATATGATTTATGTGATTATTTTTATAAACTGAAGACGGTTTTGTTGTCGTCCACCTGAAGGTTCAGAGAATGTTTTTGCCGAGTGTGTTTGTGTCTGTCCGTTAAACAAACATCTCAAGAACAAGAAGACTGTTTTTAAAGAAACTTTGAGAAAACAATCTTCGTTGGACATCTTCAACTGAAGCACTTTTGGAGCCAATTGAAGATGGATGCCAAAGACACCTTCTTCTTCGTCTGTTCCTTCTTCAGGGTCTCCACATTGAGTCATCCTCCTCCATCTCTGTCCTCTGTCCTCACTCAACTACCTCCATGTCCTCTCTAACTGCATCCATATATCTCCTCTTTGTCTTTTTCCTGGCAGCTGCATTTCTAACATCCTTCTACCAATATGTCCCTCCTCTGGACATGTCCAAACCACTGTCCCTCTTCTGGACATGTCCAAACCATCTCAGTCTGGTCTCTAACTTTATCGCCCAGTTGTTCAACCTGTGCTGTACCTCTGATGATCTCATTCCTAATCTTATCCATTCTTGTCATTCCTAAGGAGAACCACAACATCTTCATTTCTGCTACTTCCAGTTCTGTCTCTTGTCTTTTTGCCCATGTCTCTGTCTCCAGTCCATACAATATAGCTGGTCTTACCATTGTCTTGTAAACTTGTCATTTGACCTTTGTTGACACCCTTTTGTCACAAATCACTCCTGAATATTTTCTCCATCTACTCCATACTGCCTGGACTCTCTTGTTCACCTCTTTACCACCCTCCCCATTTTCCTGGACAATGGACCTGAAGTACTTGAAGTCCTGCACGTTTGATCCTGTCTAACTCTGAATGCTAGGAAACATCTTATATGTGACTTTCCTTCCCTCCATTGATTACGGTGACATTATTTACATGAACGCTCCTACAAGAACCCTGCAGATGTTGGATGCTGTCTATCATGGTGCACTAAGATTCATAACTGGCTGTAACTACTGTACCCATCACTGCACCCTTTATTCACTGGTTAACTGGACATCATTAACTTCCCACAGACTCTCTCACGGGTACATTTTCATCTTTAAATCACTTCTTGGTCTGTTGCCTTCATACATCTCCTCCTACATGTCCCTGTGTGAGTGCAGCTACAGCGTGCGACCTCAGGACATTTTACTTTTACTTACTTTACAATCGGGAGCAGATGATTAACATCTTAAAGCTCAAATACTACCTCAACTACAGCCCCAAATCCCAAATGAGTTGTAAAGGAGGCACCATGTATGCATCTCGGTCTATCTGGTAGAGGCGCTAGAGTGACTGACTGCTGAGATCCTGGCGCTGGCGGAAAACGTGGCTCGTGACAAGAAGACCTGGATCATCCCTGACACCTGCAGCTGGCTGTCTGCAATGATGAGGAGCTCAACAAGCTGCTGAGAGGAGTGGCCATCGCTCAGTGAGGAGTTCTTCCCAACATTCAGGTGGTCCTGCTGCTCAGAAGGTCCAAGAGGCCCGCTGGGTCCAGGTGGACAGATCAGCATCTGCAGCCAGTTTCTTCAGATCCGCTGTGAGATGGACTGCTGCAGGAGATCCTTGCTGCCCACAGCCATCTAGAACAACATCTAGAACAACTCTTAATGAAATCAGGATGATGAGTTACAACATTTAATTTCCCCTTTGGGATTAATGAAGTATTTTGGATTAAATTGAATTGAATTGAATTGAATTTTCTCCTTATTCCCCGATGGTTCCTAAAAGGGTAATAAGTTTAACCACTATATGTTTATACGAGGCGGCCATATGTTTAACCACTTCACCCTGTTCTTCAAATGAGTCCCGTTCTATTTAGTGCATGTGCTAAAATCTTCACCAGAGCCCTGTGGGTCCTGCTCTGGAGACTATGTGGACTGAATCACAGAATAAGACGGTAAAGTAAATTTTTGAAAAAGCACTGAATATAGCAGATTTTGCATCTTTTGAAACAAAACACACATTTTACAGTCATGTCCACAATAACAGAGACCACCTGCCAGTCCAGTACAGTCCAGTACAGTCTATCCCTGTCCTCACAGCCTGATACAGTCCAGCACAGTTCTGTGCAATCAACACAATCCGTCACGGTCTATTACTGTACAACACAGTTCCACTCTGCCATCACAGTCCAGTGCAGTTCTGTACAGTCCATCACCATCCAACACCATCTATCACAATCTATCACAGTCCAACACAGTCCCACACTGTCCATCACAGTCCATTGCAGTCCCATACTGTCCATCACAGTCCAACAAAGTCCATCACAGTCCAACACAACTGCTACCATCCTGCCGGCCATTGACTTTGGTGGCATCATAGGCGTCACAACCATTATATGTGAAGGGGACAAGTCCCCCCCACATTCCAAAGATGTTCATTTGGACCCCCCCCCCCCCCCCCACACACACACACACACACACACACTTTTACTATGAAACATTAGTTCAGATGGCACAGTTTCTCTTTCTTCGTGGAAAAAATCCATTCCACTTGATTAATAGAATACTCAAACCACTAAAACTCTACTCCAGGTTTTCCTGGTTACCTCCAACTCTAAACACAACAGCCTGTTGCCACGGTCACAATATATGGTGGTCACAGAATATGGTGTAATACCTGTAGCATCTCAGCTTAGCAGGAACTGTGACACTGTAAGACGCTGCAGGTGTAAGAGACGCTGTGTGTTTAGGTGCATTAAAGTTGAAATGTCTTTAAAACCTTGCACCTTATTGTCCTCAAGCTTCATGAGAAACATCATTTAGATGAGTAGTGTTGAACACAAGTAAAAGAGTCCAGTGGTGATGTTTTTTATTTCTCTATAAACACAAATAGTGCCGACCTGACGCTCTGTATTAAAGTGTATTAAAGTTAAAATTACTTTAAACCCACAGCTGAATTTACACAAACTTGGTGAGAAACACGTTTTAAATGTGTGAAATTAAAGGAAATCTAGGTGAAATGTTGTTTTTTTTGTACACTAGTGAACACCTTTTTTTTTAACGTGCGCGCAGCGCGCACAGCGCGCACACACACATCATTGTGTCCCCCCCACATTACGGATGCTTCTGACGCCCTTGGGTGGCATTATTTACATGAATGCCCCTGCCAGCTCCTTGCAGATGTTGGATGCTGTATACCAAGGCACACTAAGGTTCATAACTGGCTGTAACTACCGTACCCATCACTGCACTGCCCTGTACTTCTTGGTCAGTTGGTCATCATTGCTTACTCGTAGGCTCTCACACTTGTTCATTTCTCACCTTCAGAGGGTACAGCATGTTGCTGCATGGCTTTTAACTGGCACACGAAAGTTTGACCTCATTTCCCCTGTTTTAGCCTCCCTGCAATGGCTGTCGTACATTCTAGGATTCATTTTACAATTCTTTTATTTGCTTTTAAAGCTCTTAACGGACTTCCCCTGCCCTATCTGTCCAATACAATACATCTGTGTGCACAGTCCAATGCAGTCCCACATTGTCCATCACAGTCCATTGCAGTCCGTCACGGTCCGTCACAGCCCAACGCTGTCCATCCTATCAGGTGAAAGCATGAACACTTCAACAAACAACATGATAATGTGGTTTATGGTTAACCTGACATAAAAGCTGTCTGGTGCTGGCCCCTGGAGGAAAGACAGAACAGCAGAGCTGGTTTATGGGAGGCATGCCTCAACTTTCAACTTTTGCATTAGCTCCAGAGTTAATATACTAAACATCACAAGTTTATTATGCTTAATCGAGACAACCCACACACACACACA